CCGATGTGGGGCTCGATCCCAGGACCCTGGGATCATGACCTGAGCCGAAGGCAGACGCTTAACGACTGAGCCACCCAGGTGCCCCAAGATGGTTATTCTAGAAAAAGGTGGTCATCTAACCAAAGTCAGCAAGTGATGGCTTTGGCAGAAGGGGACGTTTTGGCAGGCTTTTCCATGGTAACCCCCTGTGACCTTTGGAACGTCTGAAACACAGGTTTCGAGCCACCATCTACCCCTGCCCAGAGCCTGTGGGGGAGCGCAGAGAGATGCTGGCCGGCGTCAATGCAAAGCTGGAAGATTTAATCACGGTGAGTGAGTAGTTGAGGCGCGTGACCTGACTGGGGGCTGCCGAGGGGCTACTTTTGCCATTTCCATTTAAGTGCTGTGACCCAGTGCCCTCGCTTTCAGGCCAGCTGGAATGTTAACTATGCTCTCCCAACGATCATGACGGAAGATTTCATAATCAGAGCACGGTGTCCAGTAAGCTGGAGGTGGTGATTCTGAATATCAGTATGGCTCTACCTGGGCTTGAGCCCCAGTCAGCTTTGGGTGGCCAGCCCAGTCGGATAGAAGGAGCCCTTTATTGTGAGCCCGGCCTGGGCCACATCTGGGATACAACTAACTAGCCAGTTAAGTTGAACAACCAGTCTGACTGATTCTTTTTCCATTGACTCACCCAGTTGTTTGAGTGGATCAATTACTTCTGTAAAAACAGTGAGTGAGTCTAGTTTCACCATGTGAACACACCCCAAATTCATAGCCTCTTGTAAAGTGAGTTGTCATCCAGGTTGGCACTCAACACTCATGTGATTGCAACACTTGCTTCAATAAGCTTTGAAAGGAATCCACTAAAAGCAGTTGGGCCTGCATCACATTGCTTCTTCCAGATGAGCACTGTCCTATAGAACTTTCTGTGGACATGTTATCTAACCTGCAAGCACCATGCTGTGGCCACGAGCCGCACGTAACCACAGAGCCCTTGAAACGTGGCTAGTGCAACTGAAGAGCTGAATTTTTATTTTATTTTTTTTAAGATTTTATTTTTTTGCGAGAGAGAGAATGAGAGACAGAGAGCATGAGAGGGAGGAGGGTCAGAGGGAGAAGCAGACTCCCTGCTGAGCAGGGAGCCCGATGTGGGACTTGATCCTGGGACTCCAGGATCATGACCTGAGCCGAAGGCAGTCGCCTAAACAACTGAGCCACCCAGGCGCCCATGAATCTTTATTTTATTTTTAATTTTTTTAGAGGTGGGGAGGGGCAAAGGGAGAGGGAGAAAGAAAATCTTAAGCAGGCTCCATGCCCAGTGCAGAGCCTGATGCAGGGCTCAATCTCACAACCCTGAGATCATGACCTGAGCCAAAATCAAGAGTCGGATGTTTAACTGACTGGGCCACCCAGATGCCCCCTGAGTTTTTATTTTTAATTAATTTTAATTAAATTTAAAATTTTCATGGCTGCTGAAATCCGTTGTTAGCACAATTCTGGATCCTCAGGGAGTGATTTAGAAATGTGGTATGTGAGTGTGTTTGTGTTGCGAGACGCTTAGAATAAGAGACATCTTTGCCGGGCGCCTGGGTGGCTCAGTTGGTTAAGCGACTGCCTTCGGCTCAGGTCATGATCCTGGAGTCCCGGGATCGAGTCCCGCATCAGGCTCCCTGCTCAGCGGGGAGTCTGCTTCTCCCTCTGACCCTTCTCCCTCTCATGCTCTCTGTCTCTCATTCTCTCTCTCTCAAATAAATAAATAAAATCTTAAAAAAAAAAAAAAGAGACATCTTTGCCCTCCTAGAAAAATCTGTGCTTAATTTCTTTAATCCCCTCTATTACTTCCCTGTCACTTGTCAAGGAGATTGTGTTTCCCTGACGTAATTACCCTTCAACTACTTTCCCCAAACATTCCATACTAGATTTTATGAAAGCTTCATGAGGAAAAGAAGTTATTCCAAACTTATGTTCCTGTTTAGTCTGACCTGGGGAGCCACCGGTGAAGGTTGCTGAGACGGGTACACTCTGGTAGCCCTGAACAAAAACGAATCCCATTAAATAAATTCTCTGTGGGCAAAATTGTCCATTCCCTCCTTCATTAATTCACTGGTCATTTATTGAAGACATTACATATGTAAAGCATTTTGATAGATGTATTAATTTCCCAGGGCTGCTATAACAAATGACCATAAACTGGGGGTGCTTAAAACACAGAAATTTATTTTCTCACAGTTCTGGAGGCTTGAAGTCTGAAATCCAGGCGTCAGCTGAGCCAGGCTTCCTCTGAAGGCTCTAGGAAGGGATCCTTCCTCACTTGTTCTGCTATGGTCCTAATGTGTGTTGCCCCCACCCCCAAACTCATATGTTGAAAACCTAATGTCCGAGGTGATGGTATTCAGAGGCAGGGCCTTTGGGAATTGATGAGGTCATGAGGGTGGAGCTCTCCTGAATGGAGAGCCTGAGCCCCCCACCCCCCTTATAAAAGAGGCCCCAGAGAGCTTGCTTGCCCCTTCTATCATGTGAGGATAGAATTTGAAGTCAGCAACCCAAAAGAAAATCCTTACCTAACCATGATGGTAGACCCTGATCTCAGACTTCCAGCTTCCAGAACTGTGAACAATTAATTTTTGTTGTTTAAGCTACCCAGTATGGTGTTGTATGATAGCGGCCTGAATAGAATAAGACCTCTCCCTAGCGTCTGGTGGTTGTTGGCAATCCTTGGTGTTCCTTGGTTTGTAGATATTTCAGTCCAGTCTCTGCCTAATTCACCCAAGACATTCTTCCCTGCATCTCTAGTTGTCCAAGTTTCTACCTTTTTTTTTTTTTAAAGTAGGCTCCACGCTGGGCGTGGAGCCCAGTATGGGGCTCCAACTCACAACCGTGAGATCAAGACCGGAGCTGAGACCAAGAGTCAGATGCTTAACTGGCTGAGCCACCCAGGAGCCCCTAGATGTCCAAATTTCTTATAAGGACACCAGTCATATTGGTTAGGGCCCACCCTACTGCAGTATGACCTCATGTTAATTACATCAGCAAAGACCATGTTTCCAAATAAGGTCACATTCATAGTTACCAGGGGTTAGGACTTCAACGTGTCTTTTTTTGGGGACACAGTTCAATCCATGACAATAGTACTCTAAGGAATTTAGAGGAAAGGGAAGATATAATCTTTGCCCACGGGTTTTAACCTCTACAAGGGAAGATAAACTGCTCATGAGGGTTGATGGCAGGTAAGGGCTGCAGGCCAGAGGAGGGAGCCCAGAGCCGGAGAAGCCATGATGGCTGACGGACTTCCATTTTGCCACATTGCCAGAGCCCTGCATGAGTGTTCCTTGTTTCTCAGTGTGCTGTTCCCCGTCCAGGTCATCACACAAACAGAGTCTCACCGTCAGCGCCTCCTGCAAGAAGCCGCTGCCAACTGGCACTCCTGGGCCGTTAAAGTGCAGAAGATGAAGGCCATTTACCACATCCTGAACATGTGCAACATTGACGTCACTCAGCAGTGCGCCATCGCCGAGATCTGGTTCCCGGTGGCAGACACCGGGCGCATCAAGAGGGCATTGGAGCAAGGCATGGTGAGTGGCAGATGGAGCTGGGGAGGGGACGGATGCCTCACCTCCAGCCTCAGCAGTGCCTCTGTCAGGCACTCGGAGGCCGTCAGCCTCTCACGTCACATGAACTTCCCAAGGACTGTGTCCCTCATCTTTGCATCTTCAGTTTTTTTTTTTTTTTTAAAGATTTTATTTATTTATTTGACAGAGAGAGACACAGCGAGAGAGGGAACACAAGCAGGGGGAGTGGGAGAGGGAGAAGCAGGCTTCCCTGCGGTGCAGGGAGCCCGATGCGGGGCTCGATCCCAGGACCCTGGGATCATGACCTGAGCCGAAGGCAGACGCTTAACCATCTGAGCCACCCAGGCACCCGTATCTTCAGTTCTTAATCCAGGGCCGGGCACCTATTAGAAACTCCTTTTCTGGCAAATATTCAACATTTCTTTGATCTTCAGCAAGTGCATGTGGAGCTCTGATGTACCAGTCACTCTGCTGGTTGTGATGGTAGATACCACAGTCAGTGTGACTGTAGGTCCGTCCTTTCCCTCATGAAGGTCACGGTCTGGCTGGAGAGACAAATAACCAGACACCTGTGCTCACTGTGTGCCCACAGCTGTGCTCAGCACTCTGTACCCCAGTTAAGGTCACAGCCTTCATCCTTCGCCTCTCCAGATGGTCACTGGGCCCCAGGAACAGATCTGGGGCTATGCAGCAGAGCAAAGCCCTGCTCCCGACAGACTTTCTAGAAAGGAAGACACATAGTAAGCATATCCATCACTAATGTGATTTCAGGCAGCCATGGTGGTGAGCAGGCAGTAGAGTGAGGGATGGGGGAGGATGGGGTGAGGAGGGAGGCTTTGTTCTGATCACCTATTCACCCTGCTGGTGAAGAAGGGAACGGTACGAGATGGCCAAACACACAACAGCTGCCCCCGGACACACGAGACTGACAGCAGTTGGTTAGTCACATATGCTCAGAGCCCAGGGGAAGAGGACACACACACAGGGCTGTACAGGGCCACATGGGGGTTGTCCTTGGGGCTCGCACTTGGGGGCAGAATGAGCCAGCCGGGGCTATGGGCTCCCATAAGAGGAAGGGGCCCTGGTTTCCATGGGAGGACGAGAGGAGCTTATCTGAATATATTTCTGGGGTGGCAGGGAGGCGGAAGACTAGGCAGGGTGGTCTGGCCTATGGGGGAGCTAGCTGGGTGGGGAGCCTTTCCTGCTCGGTGGGTGCAAATCTGGTGAGGGCAGAGGACCTCACGGTTTGGCCTTTGGGGCCCTGTGAGACTCAAAGATGTCAAGGCAGCACTTGGAATTTTAGGTCTTACAATACCATTCTAGGGCTGTGACTGGAAAAGGCCCCTCTGAGCAGGTGGCTTGGAACAGGAGCGGGCGGCGGGGTAGAAGGGGGAGCTTTCGGGCTGGAGGGTCTGAAAGAAAGGCCTTGAGGTGGGATTGGACTAGGAGGTAGGGCCTATCTTTATCCCCCTTGTACAATGAGGAAACTGAGGCACAGAAGGTAGGAAGTGACTTGACCACGGTCCTGGAGCCAGGAAGCAGGATTTGAAGGTCCCTGTGTGATAGTCCAGTAACGACCTAACGGGGCACTTAAGAAGAGCTTGTCACTCAGATTAGGAAGGATTGGGGTGCTTCCTGGAGGAAGTGAAGCCTGAGCTGAACCATGGAAGGGGTCAGTGAGCAGGTGACTGGTGGTGGGGAGGGGCATGTGGTGCAGGCCCACCTGAAGGCCAGTGGCTGGAGAGAGGGTGCAGCCAGTTTAAAGAACGGGAGGAAGATCAGGGAGAGGCTGCAGCATGGTCCTGAAGGACTTTTAGTGGTGTAAGGGGTCTGATTTTTTTTTAAAAGATTTTATTTATTTATTAGTGAGAGAGAGAGCGCAAGAGGGGGTAGGGTTAGAGGGAGAAGCAGACTCCCCGCTGAGCAGGGAGCCCGATGCGGGACTCGATCCAGGGACTCCGGGATCATGACCTGAGCCGAAGGCAGTCGCTTAACCAACTGAGCCACCCAGGCACCCAAGGGGTCTGATTTTATTCTCATGCCAGAGTGACACAATCCAGTTTGCATTTTAGAAACGTTTCAGTGCAGTGTGGACGAGGCTGCAGAGCTATCGGGGAGGTGTCCTGATGTCGGGATCTGAACTGAACGGGGTCATCCTGTCATCATGAAGGGGTCAGACTTCTACAAGGCCACTTCGGACTGTTTCTACAGTTTCTTCAGCCTTCTGAAATGACAAAAGTCTTTTCCAGATAGGAGTAGAAGGCCCTGTGTGGGTAGGAGGTGAGGGGAGAAGTGTAAGGGGTCAGCTTTCATTATCATCATCATGAACAAGCAAAAAATACTCTACGCCAGGTGTTATGTCAGGGGCTGGGGCCCATGTTAAAAACAAAACAAAACACCACAGTCCTTGTCCTTAAGGAGATCATGATCACATGAAGATATATAACAATAGAGTAAGGAACTCCTTCACTTGCTGTGTGACGTAGGGGAAGTTACTTAACCTCTCTGGACCTTCATTTCCTCATCAGTCAAGTGGGGCTTGATAGGTAGTTGATACCGACCTCATGGTGTTGTTAGGAGCATTGATGAGCAGTCATTTGGCTGGTGCTAGGTCCCACTGAGTGTGCAGATGGTAAATGCTGTTAGACTTTGGAACCACCAGAAGGTTCCTGGAGGGTGAGCCTGGGGAATGGTTCATACCTGGGTAAGATGGCTGGTGTGGAGTCGGCTGGTTTCCATGCAGAAGTAGTGGGGATGAAGGTGTGAAAGGAGTCTAAGTCAATATTGCCAAGAAGTCTTGATTACTAGACTGAAGAGTTTTGATTTCACTCTTTTGGTAATAAGAAGCCTTTGAAGATTTTTGAGTAGGAGGGTAGCATGACTGGAACAGTCCTCTGTTTTATTTTATCAAAGGATTTCACTGTCTGGAGTGTAAGATAAATGGAAGGGAAAGAGACAGAGGAGGACAGCGAGGCTCAGGGATGGGAGCAAGAAGAAGAGGGATTTGAAAGGGACAGGCAGGAAGATTTGGTGATTGGTTGATTGATTAAACCAGGAAAAGGGACCCGTCTGATGATTCCAAAGGTTCAGGGATCTGGAGAATGGAGTCTGCTGAAGCGAGGCCAAAGGAGGACCTGGCTTTGGGGCAAGTTGATGAGTTTGGTTTTAGGCTCCTAGATTTTGTGGGGTTGCTGAGACATGAGAGTTTGAAAACCCAGGCAGACAGTTAAAACAGAATTGCAATTCGGAGGAGGGTCAGGGCCATTTGAAAGAATGGGGCAGAATGAGGAAAGTGGATAAACTCTTGGGGGAGTGAGTAGAGAGAAAGGAAAAGTAGAGGACCCAGAACTGAGCGCAACAGGTGCATTTGCAGGAGCAGGAGCAGGAGAATGGAAATGGCCAGAACTCTACTCGCTTGATGACTTTCCTTTGGCATAAACTAGATAAGTATTAGGAAGGTATTCACTTTTACAGATATGGTCATGGGTCTCACAGAAGTCAAGAAATTGTTCCAAGTTTACCTTTAAGGAATGGTGCAAATCAGACTGTGATCCATGTGCTGACACCCAGCTCAAAGCTCTCTTCCTTGCATTTTTGTCAATGTTTTTTGTAGGAACTAAGTGGCTCCTCCATGGTCCCCATCCTGACTGCAGTGCAATCTAAAGCAGCTCCTCCCACATTTAACAGGACCAATAAATTCACAGCCGGCTTCCAGAATATTGTAGATGCCTATGGTGTGGGCAGTTACCGGGAAATGAACCCAGGTAAAGGGTCTGATGCATTGAATAACGGGGAAGCTTAAAAATGAAAAGCGGGTAAGATTGACCCCTTGGGTGGCAGAGGAGGTGAATTGTTGAAAACTGTGAGATCCCTAAAATCTTATTTGGCTTCCTGATGCCCTGCGTTGTCTTGCATAAATGGCGATTAGTGAACGATTTGTTCTTTTATTTTTTTTACCTTTTTTATTATTATGTTAATCACCATACATTACATCATTAGTTTTTGATGTAGTGTTCCATGATTCATTGTTTGCGTATAACACCCAGTGCTCATTCAGTACATG